TATATATACTGTATATACATAGAGATACATACACACAGCAAAATAGCTAAATATTTTTTTTGTTATTATATATATATATATCATTATTATTATTTCACTTTATTTAATTCAAATATATCAACATTAAAAAACAAGTTACATATCGTGGCCAAAGGCCAAATTGGTAGCAACTTTTACAAGGAATAAAAGATCACAAACAGAATCCACACACACACACACACACACACACACAAAAAACAAAGTGACCCATGCGGTGCAACCTCAAATTTTACATGCATTATTTAAATGTATTTTACATATTACACAATAACACGAGATCATTGATTAAACTATTATTAGCGTTCTACCACGGCCTTCGCATTGCAGGCCTCGTGTTTTAGTAGAAAAATTCAAACCAGAAAGTCGTTATGTACCCGATGGTCGGCTACCTTCATATCACTTGCCTTCAGTTTGCAAAGGTACACTGTTACAAAGCCGGCTATCGGAAATACAGTACCTTCTTATTAGTCTACATTCCACAGCCACTGCCCTGCATCTACCATGTTAAAATAACAATTAGAAAAAAAAATAACTTGGGAGGCACGAAATGACGTTTACAGCAAGACTACTCATACAACAACAGAAATAAACGTTGCATGGAGTTGGCAAAAATGGAGATCAAATGAAAACACAATGTATTTTAGCAAGTATTTAAAACTTTCTTTTTATTTTAGGCCTTTGCTAAAATGCCTAAAGCAGCTGATTTTTTTTTTCTGCCAATCACAAAATAGTTTCGCCCATGGTGACTTGGCAACCTGTTAGCGTGAGTCCAGACTGAGTTAACGCAGAAGAACTTCACGTCACGATGAAAAACAAAATGTCGGAAAACTTTTTCTTGACTGTCACCTATGTGAACACGGGCAAACAATTGGTGCATTTGACTAGTAGAGACTGTTCAGTAAAAGGTCAGTGAAGAAGATATATCCCAAAATATGAACGTAAGTTGCACCTGCATGCTTTCGCATATCATTGACTATCAAGTGTTAACCATTAATGAATAGAGTCTGTCATTACTAAATGCTTGAATGATTAAATGTTATTTGTTTAAACAATACATAAGATTCAATTCCAATGTGACATTGAGGCATGCACATTTTCAAAAATGTCAACACACACACATACACTAAATAGTGAATCCAATAGTACCTAATTCATTACATGCATAGGAACTAAAAAGCAATGCATCTAGAAATGTGAAAGTTATGTTTGACCCTCAGTGTTAAATCAAAATTCACTTTGGTCCTCCGAACCATTTTATGTCCACCAATGGTTAAACTTCCTTCTTAATAATTAACATTGAAAAACTGCATAATCATGAATATTAATGAACTGCTGTTTCTAACTTGTCAAATGTATTGTCATCAATCAATTCAAAGTTATTAGTTTTATAGTTAGCAACGTTCCATTTTCTTTCATCAACAACAGCATCGTAGAGTTTTTGAACAACATTAGGAACAGTTTGAACATGAGCCAAATGGCAAAGATCATCGTTATACTGCCACTGTCGCGGCCCCATAGCGTGAGCATGCCTTTGCGGCAGTCCTTCAGCTAACCGCTTTTGGTAATCCTTCTCAATATCAAGTTCCATTTGTTCTTTACTTGGCAGCTGCATGGATCCGGTCAGTGAAGCGATCACGAAACGCACCTGGCAACTAAACAACGGGAACGGACAAATCGTTGAGCATACCCCAATGAACGACAAGGACGGATGGTGGGTATGAAGAATGTGTTTATATAATGGTGTGACTCGGTTATCATTCACTGCCAACTTACAATCTGGATGCAGGAAGCTGAAATCATAGTTATAGCCAGTACAGAAGATGATGCCATCCACGACTTCTCTTGAGCCATCTGAAAACACCACTTCATTCTTGACAACCTCTTGGATGCTAGCTTTTTGTTTCATGTTCTCTGGCAATGGGGACTTTAATGGTTTCTTCCAATGACTTAAGGTGATGGACTCTGCAAATTCAGCTAGGTCCAATGCAATGTCAATTCCTGATGGCCCAGCCCCAAGCACAACCAATTTCTTTCCCTGGAAATCTTGTGCATGCCTGTAGGTATGGCTGTGACTGATGATGCCAGTGAAGGATGCAAGTCCAGGGATGTCAGGAACTTTTGGAATCGCATAGTGTCTGAAGATAAAGAATATTCTTTTTTTGTTTCCACAAAATCATAATATAATACTAAGAAATATAATATATAAGTGAGCAATATATATAATACCTGTCTCTTATACACATCTAGATGTGTATAAGAGACAGATTAAGCACATTGTTTACTTAAGTGTTGCTCAACTTCCCATTTTGAATGGTATTTTTATTTATTTATTTATCTATTTGTAATTTCTTTATATATCTTGTTTTAAATAAATATTACATTATTTGTTTTTCTTGCTATGTAATTTTTTTTTCAGCAGTAGTAGACTAGTGAATTATATTACACCTGTCATTACTATTTTATTATACCAAACCTTCTGACTAAACCCCAGTAATCTAACAGTGAACCATGTAATGTATCAAAAAATAATAATTTTTCTGATGAAAAACATAAGATAGGTAGAGAACAGTTAAGAGAATAACCCATAATTTGCTGCATCATTTTGCTGAATTCAATATTAGAAGAGACTTTTTTATATCGTGTTTCGCCAACTTATATTTTTTAGGATAAGACCATCAGGGGAGAGTGGGAAAAATATGAAAATTAAATTTTGTTTTTATATAGAAAATAGTTTTGCCAAAAACATCCAGATGGAGGAAAGAATAAAATTTTAGTGATAAATTTAAACAGTGTAGTAAAGGGATGGTTAAATTTTTAAATTGATATAATTAGGAAGAAATATACATATCTTATTTTTGAAAATTTCAAGGCAGCGGCGGGTGTAACGGGTGTAAATAAAGAAAACTTTTATTTTTTACTGAAATTTCCATTTTTTCGTGGTGGCGGGTGTGCTAATTAGCAAAAAAAAAAAAATTTTTACAATTATTCAAAATCATCCTTAGTGACAGGTGTTGGGTTCACTAAACAAGGTATAAAAAAAATTCTTGCCTTACCTAGCCACCATGGAGGGGCGCTTACAGTAGCATTATAAAGCTGTGCAATATTAGTTGCCCAATGTTTAAAATATATAAACAACGTCTTTTATAGAGGTATGTAAGTTGAAGAAGCTGCTCAATATACAGTGACTCAACTATGGAGGCACTCATCCGTAATGACCACTTGGGAAGTAGTCTCTAAGGAAGTAGTGTTTAAGCTGCCATTAGCAAAATAGCCAAATCCTAATAAAAGTTGAATTTTGTTAAATATTTCTTTTTCAAATTAGCCAAATAGCTAATGAAATTAAAGCTTTCATTGCTTATATTCTTTTGTTTTGGCTATAAAATTTCTGTTTGGCTAATTATTTTCATACTGAATTAGCCAAATTGCTAAATATTTTTTTGGTATCCTGTGTGCCACATGATGTGGTGATGTCAGCAATGTAGTACCCTTAGGCTTAGGCAAAAAATATGATGAATATAGTACACTCACCCATTACAAACCATAACAGCATCAAAAACTTGTTTTTCATGTGGGACGTGCTTCTCTTTTACATTACAAAATTGCACATTCCATCTGATCTTGCCATTCTCAACCAGTAGCTGGACACTTTCAACTCTTGTGTGAAACTGAAATTTGATAATAATGATAATATTAAATGTTTATATCCCCTGTAGGGAGTCTGTCCGAACACATGTCGGGGATGATAATTGCATGGAACAGAAGTAGATGGTTTCAGCCTTCTCTCTACAATGGCTCAGTGACACTAAATCATCAAACATAAAAATAATAGACCCGGTTTGAAACATCACATCATGCACCGAAGCTGGCTGGGATTTGCCAAAACCCTCCTAGGCTAAACCCAGCCCACAGGTTATAAGGGCCCGAAGAAGCCTTCGCCAAAGGCCTAAGACTTCTTTGTTAAGTCACTGGTAGAGACAACAGGCACACAATGAGAAATTGACAGCAAAGGTTTAAGCCTCTGTTCATTTAACAATAAAAACATTAATTAATGAATATTCTTACCTTTATAAACTTGTTTAACTCATAGGCCTCAGAGTAATTGATAAGATACTTTAAAACATCTTGATGACCAATAAACGATGGTAAATTCTTGTCGAAAGGAAAATCTGGAAACGCCATTATTTCTTTTGGTAAATTAGTCCTAGTAAAAATGGTACACAGATATCAAACATTGCTCTGTAGAATGCCAGTCAATTTGAGCGAATGCCAGTTCGAGCGAACTATAACACGGGCGAAGTTATCATCGCCCTATTCTCTGTGCACTAAATTTCTGAAATGTTTTTTGTATTTTTGGATAATTATTCCATGTTTGAATTGCAGTCTTGGCAAATCCGACTACCAGATGGCTGCTAGCAAGATATTTTCAAAACTATTGAATTTCGCACATTTCAGGTGAATTCACAGTTTTTGTCTACAGTTGGGGTTTTTTATTTTAATTATATTTGTAGTTTGTATTTGAATTATATTATATAGTGTAGTAATGTATTTGCAAATTTACGATTTAGGCCTATGACTATTTGTAAATTGGAGTAACTGTAATTGTTATTCACCATAGAAATTTAAATTCTTTGTACGTATCTAGGTGTCAGAAGGTACACAAATCATTGGTGTTGTATAAATATTAATAAATTATACAGTACAAATACAATATAATAATGGAAACTAGGCCAGGCTGTAGTAGGCCATCATTTTTCAAATGCAAAAACAAATATAAGGCCACAAAAATGAAAGTTGTAGTTTGTGTCCGAAACACATGAGGCATTTTTTCATTTTTCATTATTTTTTTTTATAAATGCTGCCCACAAACCGCGGCATTGGTAATTTTACATTTATTCCCAAGAAACAATGCTTACAGTCATAAATGTACACACTAGCCTATAAAGCAGATCCTTTTCTACATTTAAGACCTCTTTAAACATACGAGATTTCCTATTGGTCAGAAAGATCGATTTGACCCGTAAATGACCTCAGCAGTGATCAGCATCATGGTGCGATGTGGCCAGGCCTGCCTTCACTCGGTGTTCGCGACGAGTGATCAGTGATGAATAGATCGTTTTTCTGTCGGTTTACGGCTTAGAAAGTTCGTTTTTTAAAACGAAGTATATTCTTTTCAAAATAATGAAAATTTTCGTGCGGTAGCTTTTTAGGCATGCGGGCGGTGGACGCAAACCTACAACTTTCATTCCCGTGGCCTAAACATGGTTTACTGTACTTTAAAGATGAATACATGCTCGAATGAACAGGCAGGTCATATTGATCAGTTTCTGTATTCTCTGTGTAAACCCATGTCCCTCCAACACAATCAGATTGTTCGAAGACCACAGGATGAAATAGGGTGAGGTCTCTCGATAGGTGCCGGGCCGCACAGAGTCCTGCAGCCCCTGCTCCGATGACAGCCACACGTTGTTGCATCACACGGAATCCTAAGGAATGTGTAAGTGTTATTATAATGTATTATTGGAACACAAAATATAAACAAAATAAATAAGTAACTAAGATCTGGCTTAGGGCTACACTATCTACTTACTTTTCGTTATAACCGTCTAAAAATATAAATAAATTCACTTATAAACTCTCTACCTAGCTCATCAACTGATTCGTGATTCGTGTGTGACAAGGGCAAAGTCTGGGTTCTAGAGAGGGCGACAGACTGATTTTAAGGCGATAGCCTTTCTGGCAAAGTATTTTTTACTTGCCATTTTTAACCAGAGAAGTTTTACTTACAGCTGATGATGATGATTTTATAGATGAGAAACAAAAACTAAAATGTATTTATAATGCCAATACTTAGTATTTATAATGTGTTTAAAACTAAAAGTAAAATGGAATATGCAACATTAAGCCTAATGATAACGATATTGAAAAGAAATCTAAAATGTGGAGAAAGTGTAAATCTTTAGGTTCATTTTAGATTGCGACTGTAATATTAAACATAAAATATTTTAGGTATTATCGTTTTCAACAAATGTAAAACTATGGAGACCATAAAGGGCCATAGTTAGAAAAAATATTAAACTATTTCGAGGGAACGAAATAACATTTCGAGGAACATGCCTACTTCATGTGTTAATACGTATAAACCAATCTTATCAATGACACTTAACCATGGGAATTTCTTTTTTTTTTTCCGTGTACGTTCTTGAAGAAGTTTAATCCATAACATAAAATACACCCTTTTTAATCCTAAGTCGTTACTCTATTCATGCAACATCCATCCAACAGAAAGAACGTTCCTTTAATTACATTTTACTGATTTCATGTTACAAATACATTAAATTTGCATTGCAAATTAATGCTATAAATTTGTTCTAATTCTACTGTAACTGGTTCTATGTCAATAAAAATAAAATTATAAAGAATACGTGTCACGTTGAAGTCCTTTTAGCAGCTTTGGTCTCAAATTAGAACCCATCTAACGAAAAGTAAAAGTGAATCCTTGCCAAGCCACTAGGGCCCATATAGGGGATGGAGCTTATTCCCGGTTTCTGTAGCGTGAAGCAGATGAGAGTGTGTGCCGCCCCTGTGTGGGACGCTAATCCACCAGAGGTTACTCCCACTGCTCTTTGCTGGTACCCATTGACACAGCTGGGTAGACTGAAGCAATGTAGATAAGTTGCCTTCTCTCAAGGACACAAGCAAAATGAGCAGCGAAGGATTGAAACCCTGATCTCAAGTTAGGAAATGAAACCATTTCCTCTGCACCAAACCTAACCACTTCCACGTCTAAAGAAAAGACCAGTACTAAAAAGTGGTCATTAAATTCCTCTGGAGCTGGGAAACTAAAATATGATACATTATGTGTCATATTGTTTCACTTTAGAATGAATGGACCATTACTGTATTGTATGTTCTTATTAATTCTTAATAAAACATTTCTTGATAGCCAGGCCTCAAGTCGTGTGCTCATTCTACCTAACTCTCCATTACAATGTTACTCACATCAAAATCAGACTAACATCAGTGCAATAGTCCCAAAAACATTTGAACTCTTTCATCTCCATGAAAATAAAAGTAAAAACCAATGCTATGATATATATTTTCTCATTACACTAAAATACGTTTTTTTTTGTGTAGTAAAAATTTAAAAATAACAGAAAATGCCTTTCACTATAGCAAATTTTAAAACTTGCAATCTGTTTGTGGAGCATGGTCTGGGTTTTGAAAACCAGAGGGCATCAAAGTGGTGGTTGGTATAATAATGAAGTGATGTATATACAAAATCAATATTGCTGTGTAGATCCATTGAGTGTTCGCAACTACGCTTCCCTCCACCCCCACAATTCTAGATAAGCCATGGGAGAAGTATTACACCTATAATCCATTTAATCAAACCCCACCAAGACGCCGCTAGAGAGGATGTCCGAGCATATGAAAATGAGAGCACAGAACTAGCATTCTAACCATTTAGCACAGGCAAATACACAAAAACATATACACTCCATAACAATAGATCATAAATCAAAGTATCTAGAAAACTTCAAATATATGAATTGTTTTATTTTCATTGTTATCAGAAATTACTTTTAACTATATATAAATTAATACAATATATAACATTTTAAAAATATATTGCTTCATTGCATAATTTAATGTCTTGGTTTAATTTCATCATAAAAGCTTCTTCCAATAATACCATACTTGGATACAATCAGAACTTGCTTGTTGGTGCATTTTACCACACAGTTGTCCAATGAACCTTGCCGAAGCATCAAACATCAAACTAAATAATTGACCAATCAGAACAGGGCAAAAAGACGAGCGTGTTCTACATACACATGCGGTAATGTCCCACAAACGCAAGTGTGTGTGTATGGTTTTCCACCATTGCTTTGTCGGACCTTAAAACAATTTATCGTGCTCAGATAGTTGACAATTTGTGCACCATTATCATGTCCCTTGCGATAAACCACTATATTCATCCAATATCACCTGCCTGACTAACAAGCACTTATCTTTATGTTCAGTGCGTCTTATCAAAGCATCCATTCTATTGCACGTAATTACCTCTACAGGAAAATTTAAGGGGCATTCCCCTTCCCATAAATCCATTATACTTGCTAAAAATGTTTTTCTTTGATTAATGTCCGGTACATGTACAGGTTTGTTTTTTGAGACACAAGTCTGTATAGACGTTACTGCACTGGAATTGCTATTTTCAACATCATTTACTTCTTTTTCACCAAATTGATTGTTACAATCATCATTAAATTCTGCAGTTCTAGCATTTTCTGTTACATTGAAGAAGTTTTCTTCAATATGTACTGATTTATGATCATCTTGCATGGATACATTTTTAGCACTTTTTTTGCTGAGCATTTGTTTCATTAAATTGTTCTTAAATTCTTCAGTGTCTGCTGCCCTCAACTGTTCACAATTGCCTCTATGTTTATCTGGATTTCCATTCTGCATTCTAGAGGTCTCAACTGTCATGAAATCTGTGAGCTCTACATTTCGACTCGTACAACATACATTGGAATCTTCAGCCATTTCGTGAGGGATGGTATGTGACAAATAATCCGGATGATGCACGATAAGTGCAGCAATCAATTCTGCGATTAATAAATGAATAGAGTGGTAGGCTACGCTTGTCATGTCCTGTTGGTATGAGAAAGAGCTCACTATTAAACTTTCTGACATAAAAATGCTGGTTACAGGTGTTTCAAGTTGGAAGATGCTACTTTTGAGAGATCTGAAACTGAAACAACTAACTTTATTTTGCTGTGCATGGTGACACCCATCACCAGCTAACATCCGGGAGACAACTGATAATACAGTAGTAAAAATACTGTATATAAATACAGGTCTCCCTCCAATTAAAGACCACTTTTGGTACTGGCGTTTCCATTGTCTTTAGCAGCTTTGGTCTCTAATTAGTATAATAAATATTATAGACATTTGTTTATTTGGGACCACAGAAAAGTGGCCTTTAATTGACGAGGTCTTTAACAGTGATGGTGCCATGGGCGAGCCTCACTTGGCTGGGGGCCTGGGCGCCGCTTAGGAGCCACCGGTGGGGTAAAGCTACGGATATTTTACACATTTTGGTGAATTTTTATTAGTTATTTCATAGGCATCAAGCTACTGTAATATGACATGTATGTTTTTTAATGTCAAAATTAACTCCCAAAACCAACAATTTTTGAATAAAACAACGAGAAACAAAGAGTATGCAATGTAACCAACTAACTTATTTTCAAATCCGTTTTACATTTTATATTATTTTTTTAAAAAAACACCGTATTACATTACAATACTATTCTCCCATCATGGCAAAATCCAGATTTTTCATAATCCATGTGATTGTGAATTATTAACAACAAAGCTAGGCCTCCCCGACGAGGGGTCTATAGCCCCCTCTGGCGCCACCACTGGTGTTTAATTAAAGGGAAACCTGCATAATGAATTTCATGATAAAAAACAACTCCACTCCCTAAGCCTGAAAATGGACTTAGTTTATGTAGAGCATCTTGTGTTTATGTTTGTCTTATGGGAATACCACTTTGAAGAGTGATTAAGTTCACTGTTTAGTTTGGCAAATTCTTGTCCTTCCTATTGAATGGATTAATTTCTTACCTGTCTTGTTGCAAGTGTTTTTTTCACAAAATTTACTTCTTCTTGTACCTCAACAAACGTTACTAGGATATTGCTAGTGAGCTTACGCATCATTGTCTAAATGATAATAATAAATAAACATTTTAAAAAACAAAAATTATAATAAAATTTAATATATAATAATAATTAAAAAATAATAATATTCATATAATTATTTTAACAAAAAATAGTATTCAACAAATTAAAAACAACACATGTAATAAAAAGGAACGAGAAAAATAATATTAAATATGGAGTCATTGATGTGGCAAATCCTAAATAATAAAAATGTAATCATCTTGAGCTTTCTGATCCACTTAATATTTTTTATTAACCAACAAGAAGCCCAAATTAGTGTGTTTCAAAAGACAATTGATACTTCAACCTGGATTTTAGCCTTAAGGTTAGATCATTGTGAATGGGAAACAACAAAAAAATATAATTGGTATGAGATTTAAGTTTAACATTAACGTAAATATGATAAACAGAACGTACTCATGGGCAAATGAGATGGCCTTTTCTTGAGTGATGCTGCTCTCCCGTTTTTCAACTTCAACCATCTTTGAATTCAGGTTCTCAACCTCTACACCACTACCGCTACTAACAGCACAGCTACCGACACCGTTGCTACCGACACCGTTGCTACCGACACCTGCCAGAGCTTTCAAGGCCTTAGTTGCCTCAGCCAGGTGGTGTGTCACAAGGTTGGCATTGATACTTTTTATGCAATTTGATGAGATTCTCTTTGAAACAAACTCTACAGTTTTCTTTAGTGATGGGGAGTGGTTATCAAAGAAATTATCTTCTAGTTGAACCTAATGACAACGTAAATATAAATATTTATATTCATTACATAAAAGACATACTTTTTAAAAATTTCTCAAATGTTTCTTATAATATCACAACTTAGAACACAACCTACTAATTTTCATTTTTTATCACTCCAATTCAACAAGTTATTTTCCAGTGTGAGTATTCTAAATTTAAAAATTACAATTCAAAAACATTATATAATTATGGAATATAATTTTTAAAATACTATTAATAATTAATAATAATAATAAAAATGATGAAATACTGAATATGTTCATTAAAATAAAATCATGAAAAAATAATTATTGGTCCTAAATCTGAATTGAAAATAACATTTTTACTTACAAACTTATTGATACATAAAAATATATACAACTGACTGACACAATCAGGTACAAAAATCAACCAAAAAAAAAAACAAAAAAAACCAGTCTTTTCTAAACTTAAGCTAATAAAATATATCTATAGAACCATCTTAGTATTTTTTGAAACGTACCTGTATTGGCTTCTCGGTAATGAGCGGCTTTGGCGGGGGATTGGCTGACACTGGGGTGATCTTCTTCATAGGTGTACTCTTGCTACCCACCCCAACCATGGTCCGAGTGAGAAGAATTTTGACCTCCGCAAGATACGGACAGCATGAGTAAAGTAGTTTGCGATCCACTATATTCAGCGCATCTAAAAAGATGACATCTTTGGAGTTTGGTCTTAGAGACGGTAATGATGGTTGGTGGTTGCTAGAGAAGACGTTGAAGAAGAGAGCAGGTGGGAACATGGGAAGTTCGAAGAGCCATCCCATGATGCAAATTAGAAAGAACCAGCTTGTGTTAGCCTCAATCGAAAACTGTAAGCCTAAAAATCTGAGAAAATGAATACTAATGTTATATTTTAATTCTACGTTCATCATATTTAATCAATATAATATTTTAGAACATTAAGCTTCAGAATAATAGATACATATTTACTGGGTTAAGGGGCAAAGTTCAAAATATAGCAGTTGGTGATCTGGAGGCTGTACTATGTCCTGCGATAAATTCTGCAGCTTTAGAAATCTAAGGGTGGGTGATGGATATTTTAAGGGTGGGTTGGTGACAACATTGGTAAACTCAAAATAATATGAGTGGGTTTTAAGGATGGAAAAGTGGGTTAATAATGGTGGGTGGAGGACCATTAAATTAGCTTTAGACTGGGTGGAAAACTTCAAGGCGGGATGGCCCCACCCACCTCCACCCACCAGTACTACATCCCTGAGTACAGCCTCCAGATCACCAAGAACTATATTTTGAACTCTGACCCAATTAAAACTCAGTAAATATTTGTTTTATATACCACTACATAAATTTTTGGCATTAGAGGGCATGGCTGGAACCACTGCCCGGCTGTTAACCAATCGAATGCCTGGAATCTATGTAAACGGTATAAAATGATTAGTATAAACTGTTAGGCTTTTTTACTAGTGTGAATAAACACAAGTTTTAATGACCCCTTCGATAATGTTTCAGAAAACAACAGCTGTAACACGAAGTCATAAACTACAATATTTGTGGGAGCAAGCTATTGAATAACACATTCTGATTGATTGTAAATTTCTAGGTTTGATTGACATTCCAGATATGTCTATTATTCACGTGAACACAGAAAAATGTTTCAAATTTAATTATCATTAAACATATACCTGTAGATGTCCACTAAGGTAATAATTAAATTCTGGTAGTAGAGTAGGTGAGGTGAAGTGGAATCCATCATACTCAAGAACTCAACAACCCAAGGGATAGTGAAAACCAAGCGATGCTCAACGAATGATGCTGTCACGTAAGCACACAGATCTAGAGGTGGTTGGCTCTGCAAGGAAGACAATCATATGATTAGTTGAGTGAATAGAAAACTTTCAACACATCATCAGTAAAATTTACAACATAATGACATTGTGTCATCTGTGTATACTATACAGGGATACTGCAAAACCAGAAAATTTTGCGGCACGAAACTTTCGCGAATTGATAATTTTGGCCGTTTTTGCGACATTAAACTTTCGCAAAATGCCTAAATTTTATTCATGAAAGGAATACTATACAATAGCTGAAAATATCGTTTCGTGAGTTCTAGGCCTAGGTAAGATAGGCCTACAGCCACTGTCTAGGCTAAGCTAGGCCTGGGCTAGGCATCTTAAGCCTGCAGCCCTCAGCTGGAGAACCAGGACTTAGCTGGCCATCTAGCACAATTAAGAAAGAGCCAAGTTTACACACATACAGTACTCACTCATACATACGATATTCCTAAATTTTGTATAATATTCAATCATCCTACAATGAACAATGTTTATCAAAACGTGTGTTTTATTAACAAATAATATTCTTACACATTGATTGATGATAACTGAACATCGTGGTATGTAATGGTGTAATTTAGTTTCCTAGTATACACTGCAGAGTGGTTGCACATGTGCAATCACATGCAGTGATGATCAGAACATCCCTGATCAGAATACTTCCTGAGTAGCTCAGGATAGGCCTAGAATTTACAAATTTTTCGAGCTGAACATTAGAAGTTAAGGTCAGAATATTGATTCATTAATTGAAATACATTCTATTAAGTTTATACTCATTTAATAAAATTCACCAAAATAATTAAAAATACAATTTTTAAATTTTTAAAATGCTGAAGTTGTCAACTCTTCACACACATGTTGCGATTTGTGGGGATTCCCCATTTAGGCCTAAGCCTTAGATCTGCATTGCATCGTCATTGGCGAGTTTAGGCCTTGAAATACCGACAATTCTTGCTGTTTATTGTTCATTATCGTGTTTAATAAAGTGTAAATTAATTTTTGGTGTAATTCAGTGATTTATAATGACCAAAATCTCGTTTCTGAAACTGATTCGACATTCACGATGATCAGATTGTATTCTACCGATCTTTTTTGAAACATAGAAAATGTGACCTGAAAATTATTCGCTGCATAAAAGGTTAATGCGCGTGAAATTTCCTGGTTTTACAGTTTAGAATTATAATCATCATTCTAGGACCGAATATATGTTGTGCAGAAAATGCAGGACAATCATAAATGAGTGATTTAATTCCAAGATCACGTCGTCATAAAAATCATAAGCTCCCAAACTTAACAATGGAAATGTAGTAAAGCTGTTCATTGGTGGTTAATTTGTTTGCTGCCACTCAAAATTATGTGATTTAGTCCATTAAACAAGTCGGGTATTTTCTCATAGCAGATTTGGCGCAAACTTTACAAAGAATTAGATTTAATATTTTTTCAGTGACACCAATGATATGGTAACCCATGAAAAATCTGATTAATTATTTCCAGTTGTGTTCCTCTTCAGGAGACTTGGAAAACACTGAATTACCTTGTTTCTCAGATTAATAACTTCATCGCCGACACTGTCTGTTGATGTACTGTTACCGCGATAAGGCAGGAATACCACAAAACCTAGGAACTTACTCAAGAGACGTAACGTCTTAAGGCTCAGTTTGAAATTCTCCCGCTGCTCCTGGGGTAAAAACAATGTAAACTGAATATGAAGTTTATTGACATTTTGTGGTTGAAAGGTTTACTCAGATAAAGAATTAATACTTTCATGCTTCCCAGGATAAGCACAGCCTCCCACCATTTAACTCTCTTACTAAAAATGTTTATCATGGTGCAGAAATAGTAATTTTACTGAATAAGAATTCCAGTAAAAGCATAGCCAATCAATTTACTATAAATTTTTATTATGGTACAGAAACTGATATTAGGGAGCTTTCGGCTTGAGCGACGATGCGACACTAGAACGGAATCACTCATGCGTGACCTTCCCACCGAACGCCCTACATTTTCTACATACGTAGGTGACTTTTAGTGATGTCATTACGTTCTACGTCCTATCGTCGTCGTGCAATCAAAAGCTCACTAATACTAAAAATAGATTATGTAAATGAGCATTATCATAAAGTAGGTATATACCAAAATTGATAGGATTTGTCTCATGTGCTGTTGTGCATACCCTCAAGATGAAACAAATTATGGTAACATAGAATATAGCCTACTACCTGTGACCACCAACACCATTACCATCACGGCCAATAACATGAAGAAGGACATAAGAAAATACAATAACCTCCCTACAGCTTTTGATATTTTTTGGGAGTCTAAACACTAAACTAAATGTGGGCGGTTCTTCTTACCTCCTTTAGTAGTTCATCCTGGTTGTCAGTAAAGATGATTGACATGTCATTCAGCTGCAAGATAAACAAAATAATGCTATTGTGAATGCAATGCATACAAAATCAGATGCTAACCAGCCTGCTATGTTTGCATCAATTACCACTGTAAGTGTTTTATATACCACCTTCTTCAATCAACAGGGCAATGGGAAAGAGGACCAATGCAAAATTATAATTCATGAAAATGTTTCATGTTTCATTCTGATTTTATTATCAAAAAAGTCATTGCAGTAAAATTAAAACAATATTGAATTGTGAGTAGATTTACAAAATATGATAAAGTGATTACTATACAGGTATTTACAAATTAATATAATGGGAAATTACATCAATTACGATAAGAAATAAGAGACAATGTATTTGAAGTAATAAAGTAGAAGATTTACAGTAATAATTACAATGATATAATGGTGATTAATCTTGGTAACTATAAATAATTATTTTAAACCATGCTACCAATAATAATTCATTAATTTTATAGAACATATCTGTCTTACCTCTATAATCTTAGCTGAGAAACTGTCGATCAGGTGCTGATTAAATATATAACTACAAAAAATAAAGTATATAATTATTTGTTGGGTATGAGTACGATCACAGTATTCTTTCAACCCTACAATGTTGGTCTCAATACTTTTCGGTCAGAAGAATATATATCACTTATTTACTGTGTAATCCACGATTAGCTGGAAACACAAGGTGTGTTTTACATACCATAACAGCTGTGGTAAGTGTTGATTCCTAGGCCTACCGTACATACAGAATACATACACAGTGTTTTGAATGGTTTTAGATATGTAAGGTGTTTGCTGCTCTCTCTCTCTATCTATCTATCTATCATTTAAGTCTAATTCCATTAAAGCGCCATACCGCTCCATTTTTCACAAATCACATGAAGCACATTAGAAGGTGCTAATAATAATTTTTATCATTTTTAATTCTGTCTGATGTTACATATCTGGCAAAGACAAGCTAAACCAGTCACTCCTCGCAAATCATGTTTCTAAGATAATGGCCAAAACATGTTGGAATGTCAACATTTTCAAAATTTGTTTTATTGCACTAGACTCACCCTTTATATCTATACATAATGATATATATTGTTATTTTCACCACTTTCGAAGTTAAAACAACATTTTTTAACGATTTGGTGATGGTCTCTCTCTGAGAACTCCCCAAAAGTGTAAACTTTGAAGGCTGATTTCTCAAATACTACTTTCTAAACAGCTGTATGTTTAAACTCTTATAACTTCACAATGAAATATCAGATTTAAATGATCCTTTCACCATTTTATAACTTTCATTTTATAGTTTCACATTGTATTAAAACCTAAAAATCAATTTTGGAGGAGCGACAGATTTGGCGTATCTTTGCCACATATGTAACAACATATAGTACAAAACAGCTATTAAATTATTGACAAACCTCTCAGCGCACACAATAAAGTCTCGGAAGAATTCTTGACAGCCATTGAAGCTAGGGGGAGGGCATGGGCCAACGGATCTAGATGGCATGAAAAATCTTTCCTGCAGTCTGCAAAAATAAATAAAAAATGTAAGTGGAAATAAAGTGTACAATGTTTTAACAAGTAGAGTGGCTTACATTCATCCTTTTATGCCTGTTATAATTAACAATCCTGTGCTCTCCCCTCTGTAATTGGTTGTCATATAGCACAAAGCCCCAGTCTCAAATTGATATGCCTACTGACTGTACAACGCTGCTTTTAATCTGTTTACCAGAGCTGGAAAAAGTGCATGACTGCATGACCGGCAGCAACATTAATGTCCCGGATGCATTTTGGAAATACAGGTAAGAATGTGATGTCATGTAAGGTCAAACTCTTAAAAAAAATTTGTTTATTAATATGGGAACGTCCCTCATGAACATTTCCTACACTCCCTTATCGTTCAACACCCGCAACCAAGTCAGGAATGGGTGAGATCTGTGGTCTGTTTTGAACATTTGCTAATAACAAAGCACAAAAGCATGTGTATTAAACATGTCGGGTATGATAATTATTTTTATCAACTCTAACTATAGGACTATGCCTATTGAGGTTTCATTCTCTTTAAATGATCATAGCTTTTATGTACCGGCACTTTTACTTCCATCTGTAATCATTTTTCAAGCCCCCAGAAATCTAGAAGTTGGATAATTATTTATTTGTTATTAATTCATTTGTGCAAAAAATAAACAGTTGGGCTATATATACAGTGTACAGATAGCATTTGGTGCATTTTATCAAGACAACTTTCATGGTCGAAAGACACTTTTCTTCCAGGTCTGCTGTTTACCTTTTAAATTTTTCTGGATTGGATTTCTTTAACTGGCTGAGTAATTGTTGGTCTTCAGTATCAGAACCAGTCAAGAATGTAGAGTTACTGTGGCACATCTGAAGAGAGAGAAATATCATTATTAACTCATAAATATTAATTAGGCAATAAGAATATCATTATTAACTCATAAATATTAATTAGGCAATAAGAATATTCTATTGGTAATTTCCACCCGGTAAGGTGTATGGTAGTTTCTTCTACTTCCCAGAATGTGCCAAGTCATTGGAATTATGCCTATGGAACACATACTCAGCTCCTTTAAGGAGCATTCTACTATTTGATGCATGCAATAATTCACTGCATAGGCACTCTAAAAAATTATTTAAAAAAAACCTAAGAAATAAAAAAAAACTTTAAATTGTTTTTTTTTAAAAGACTTTCAATAAGTCACAGATAAAAAAAAAATCAGTTTTCAATGCTTTGCAGACATGTTCCTACAACAACCTTAATTTTGCTGGTAGGTATTTGAGGGTATATGTATTCCAATACTACTATAGGAATGCTTTTTAAAAAAAATTTATTTTAAACATCTGTTTATAGGAAAGTTAATAACTTACTGAAATATACAAATTAAAAAATTCATTTAAAAAAAATTCATATATGAAGAATATATTAAACACAAATGATATAATTACCGCTGTTATATAAGAAATAACTTACTGTGATGAGTTGTGATCTGAAGAGCCTTGCAAAGTGTATGTAATTGGTGGGATCTGTTGCTTGCTTTATCACTGATCTGGAATAAAGGTTGAAGGTTATATGCTTATAACAAACACAAATTTAAAAAAAATCAAAATATAATTCAGAATATAAAGAGATTTGATATACAGTACTATAAGGCTGGAATTTCTGGTATTATTGCCTAAAATACTGTTGACTGGAGTTACAATTTTTAAAAATGAACAAAAAGCAATTGTAAAAATGTTACTCTCCCTCGATAATAGGAATCATGTAAAACATGTGGTCCCATGCTGATAAAAAGGTTTTTTAATTAATCAATTGTGAATGTGTTCTGTGCGACACTAGACCAGATATGCCCTTTAACAGCAATAACACAAGCTCTTCCAGGGTTTTGCTTCTTGGACCCTAAGTGGCTCGGTCGCCACTGGACTCCGTCGCCACTGGACTCCCCCTCCCCTAAAAAATATAATAGAAGGGAACACTGTTCTTAAACCCTCGATAATAATAATAATGATAATATTAATAATAATAATAATAAAGAAGACCTGCTGCTTTTGTTGAGAATCTAAACGTTTTGATTGAGTTGCTTTAACTGTCATCAGGACGATTATTAATCTTATTGTTGTTGTTGGTGACATTGCAATTCACTTTCAATGTCCCTGTCATTATCATTGCAAAAGGACAGCAGAATATTAAAATATGGTTGTATCAACTTACCTGATCTGTGTGGCTTGCATTTCTTTCATGTTCCAGCCAGGTAACCTGTGGTTGTCCTCCCATTCACGCAGCAATTCATAAAACTGATCCCTATAAACAAATTTTAATTAATATTTAATAAATGTAATTTTAAGATATTAAAATGAGAGTTGATTGATTTATTTTCCCTTCAAAATTTCCGATTCACATTCATAAAACAGTGAACATAACACCACACTGTGGGCAAATTATTTGAATGCTTGAATGACTCACTTAGCCTAGTGTTAAATCATAAAAAATATGTTGAACAAGAGATTATTTATAATTAATGATTAAAAAAAAAAATAGCTTCAATAATAAAATAAATTCTAAATGTAATGTTTACAAAATACTTCAATTATGTGTATTATTAATTTTCTGTACTTAAGTTTGAGACAATGATATATTATACTAAACTTGTGTTATCATGTTAAACATTGGCTAAAAATAAACAATATACCAAAAAGTGGGTACAAGTCTCCTAAAAGAAAGCGACTTTTACGACTGGGTGTTTTATGGTATTTAGCAGCATTAGTATTTATAATTAGAAAAATTATTTAAAAACAATAAAAGATAGACTTTCATTTAGGCCACAGAAAGGTGTTCTTTAATTGGAGGTGCCCTGTAAATCTGAGGGATCTCTAATTAGAGGAAGACATATACGAATACAACAAGAAGTTAATATAAGCTACCTTTGCTTTTTAAATCCATGGAACGATTGGTTTGATGGAAAATTTTGCCTGTTATCAGTGTCGGCAGAGAAATGGACGGCGTTAACTGGCGATGTAAATACTGGAAGTGTTGCTGAGCTGCCACAATTACTTGGTTCAGACACAAACTGATCATTGAAATTTGGGCTAAACTCCAATATATTGTCATTTTCTGAAAGTAATTTCATTGTTGTTTCATCTAGGAGTGACAAGAGTCTGTAGAGAAAAAGAAGGCCTTTGCAATACATCAGACAATAGACAATAAAAACATTTTATAGCATTCAAAAAACTTTCCATCAAATTTTGATCAAGTCTGATAATCGTCGAGGAGAACTAAGTGAGTCAGCAGATGACTGAACATTGACATCTGACAAATTGGAAGAGCTGAATTTGGTTCAAAGTTGTTGTTTCGTCACTAACAAATCGGGGAGCCTTCCTGATTGCACTGGGAACAGCTAGATATTGTAGCAATTGCTGTACAGTATTGACAGTGAAGCAGGTCTTCATGGAATATCCACAGACAGTACTGTGTCTGTACCAACATATTTGAATGCTTGTTCTACAAGTTCCCAGAAATGCCACCACCTTTTTATCAATCATAATCTCCATCATTTTCACCATGTCATAGTTGTGTTGGTGCTGATGGTGAAGATCATAATATTGGTGGTAAAAACCATAAAGATGGTGCTGGTAGTGGTGATACTGGTGAAGGATGTAATAATGGCTCCAACACAATGATAATGTTAACCACCACGACCACTGTAACCTTTACCACCACCAATATGAATGACCTTCACTACCAACATTACAACCATTATGACCTTCACCTCCATCATTACTATAAATTATGACAGTATTACCTTGATTGTCCCTCTAACACCTTTACAGCGAAGTATACACAGTTGTGTATTGTTGACAAATAGTTGATATCTTCAAGATCTCGATTCACTAAAACAGTGGCAATATCATCTGGCTCACTTCCGTGTGATGTCAGTAACTGCACCAAGAAATATATCTCAACTGGTAAGTTTGGAATAAGACATTCTGGGAAAATTTTTTAAAAGAATTTAGTAAAACAAGAATAGAAAAAAAAATCAAAATTGGCTATATGTGACTTGCAAAGAAAAACTGTCTGCCAAGAATTAACATATTCTTTTATCTGAGTATAATTTATCACGATTATTTGAATTTATAGTACTTTTATGCAGATATATGGGCAAACATGATGTTGGTGTAACTGTAAGTTATGCACCTATAATTCCCAATGACATTTTTTTTCAGTTTATATCAATACAAAAATTCACATTCAGACCTTGGAATCTAATGACAAGCATAACAATACATTAACAAACAATTCTGCTTTAAACAGGTAGAAAGTAAATTTCGTGTATGTCTCACCTTTTAGAAACCTGGAATACAGTTCAGCTAAAACATCTAGTTTTTCAGAATGTGTAACCATGCTTCGCCTAGCAACAATCTCATCGATGGTAGTTATCATAGTACTTAAAAGAGGTTTTGTAGGTGTTGTTGGAACCATTTTACCTGGAGACATGATACTTTCTTCTTGAGGTAAAGTATCGCTTCTTTTCAGCTTTACCTGGCGTAAAAGCTCTCTTTCCACTTTCAAGGATTTTATCGGGCTTGTAAAAGCATTGTGGAATGGTTTCATTGCATCAATACCATTAAGACAACTGGTATGTTCATTGTCAGAAGGTATTGTGAATAAAACATTATTATCATTCCTAGTATCTTTACTCACAAGAGTTGGTGTGATTCTTCTTGGTTTTACAGACTTTGCAGCACTGATGGATGGAAAATCTTGTGTATCAAGTCTAAAAGTAGTTGGTGTGTCAGTATTTTGTGGAATGATCTTCACCCTTCGGCCACTTCCCCCGCTTCTGTTTTTCCCTCCGGAACGCTTACGAGATCCGCTCGGAGAAGGAGTGCGATAACTTGAAGATTCTTGATGCTCCACCTCAACAACTGAAGGACTCTTTTTCTTAATACTTCTTTCAAAAGAATTTGATGTATTCAGGTATTGTCCTAACGTCAGAAGTTCTGATTTTTTTGGTGTTATGATACGAGGGGAAGGACTGCTGTCTTTCCTCCATGATCTGTCCTCTCGTCTGGATCTATCTCGGGATAATGAACTCTGGTTACTTTTTGTACTACTTGGGGTATTGTACGAACAATTAGACGGAGAAAAATTACTCTCTGAATCAGGTGTTGAATGTTGGAATGAATTTTCAGTTTGTGATGATACATTGGGGCTAAATAATTTTGTACGATTTCCTCGTCGTCGCTGGGAATTCTTTACAGACTGACGTAGTTTCTGTGCACTTGTTGGTGTTTTAGCAGGGGTATTTGTCGAGGAGTTCACAGAGCAGATGAGATGACTTGTACTGTCTCTAAGGTAGTTAAGGAAGAATGGTAGGAAGTCTGATTGTAGCTGTAGTTCCTTCAGTTGGCTTTCTTTATTGGCCTAATAAAAGAGAGATAAGACAGGGAGAAAGTAACAATAAAATCATGGTCCGCTGGTGATACAAAAACAACAAAAACATAGCTCTGTCCGAGCATGAGTGAGGCTCCCTCATCATATTCATAGGCCCACTTAGCACACTTTACTAAATATGAATACGTAAGCTAACTAGAAAAGAAGCAGCTACCAGCACCACAATATCACAGTAGGCCTATCCCTAAAAATAAAATTGTAATGGCCCTAGGCCTAGTCTATTAATATACAGTTAAACTTGCCTAAGTCGAATAATTTTTAAGTCGATCTTATTTTACATGCCAAATTGTTGTAATGTCTAAGTTGAATTTTATCTAAGTCGAACAATATTTCAATGGCATTTTGGATTCAAGTTCAACTGCATAGAATAGGCTAGGCCTATTATTAATAAAATTTACAGTGTGTTTGAAACTGACATGCTGCTGCCCCGGAGATTGGTTGTGAATGACGTCATCTACACGTCGCAGTCAATCACAAGGGGAAATCCACGCACCCGTGGAAGACCCTGTGGGGAACCCCGAACAGAGTGCTGAGGAGAACTTGGATAGAACAAAGCACTTGAGAGATAACCACAACACTAGACAGAACATACGCAACCAGCCAGCCGGGAGTGCAAGGTAAGCAATGCCTACTGTAACACTGTATAGTTACTTAGTATCCTGAGTAGTGTAAGTACCTAATAGAGACCTAGCAAATCTCTATAATAAAACACAATTCGCATATTATAAGCTTATATAGGCTAGTTACAGTATGTGGCATTGCTATACAGCAGAAGGCTGTTCCTACTGTATGGGTCTTAAATACCACACGACACCACACAGGACCACACAGATTCAAAAATGATAAAAATATTACCACACAAGAGTAGAAAACTGCTTAATAATCAATAGAAACCAACTTTAGAACGATAATCGTCAAAATTACGTTAAAAATCAATGTATGTTGTTTTTGTTTTGTTGGTTTTGCCCATCGTGCCTCGGTACGTAATGCGTTGACATTGTGGATCTATAACGCATTGACGTGTCAGCAGAAACGCATTCAGCCATGACCTTCATGTCTTCGTTTCATAGCATCACTCAAGGTACTTACACATGAATGGTAATGAACTTATTCTACATAAAAAAATATATGAGTACCGGTATTTACATTGTAGTATATTTAATTATGTATTAATGTACTGTTAGATACATTTATTCTATTTTTTATGAACTCTGCAGTGTATATACTTTATTGAACTAAGATCAATGGATATTGCATTACAAAATACATGTTTTAACATATTGGTCTATACTGTCCTGACACTTTTAACCCTCCGTCGTTGTCCAGGTTTGTGCGCTCTTTGTGGTGATAGGAAAAGTTAGCAGACTGTCGGAAGTCGTTATTTGTTCTTTTCTTCTTGCGTGGTGCGGCATTCATGAAATCATTAAAGATTCTTCTCGAAATTTTTAATCGTCCCTGCTCTCTTCTTTATTGTGATATCTTGCATAGTTTGACATATTCATAAACACTAAGGGCGTATCTTGATAAAGTAAAAGTAGTGGTTTATATAGTACAGGGCTGATATATGTACTGTATATGTCAATAAACTATAAATAGAGTACTGTACCATTAGGCCTACAGTGGTTCAGGAAGCAATTGACAACTTTATCTACATACAATGACAATAAAATGAGCAGTCCCGAAGTGAGTAGAAATTTAATGAAATGTGTTATAATTTAAAATGTATTATATTATTATAAATATATTTTTGAATCTTGAATCTGTTTGTTTATATTTTACTCATATCCTAATGGAATCTAATTCTTAACTTCAGATAAATTGGTTGTTCTGAAACTATTTATATATCATATATTTTACATTAATGCAATCTTCTTTACTCAATTGTTGTACACTGAAATATATTTATTATTAAAAAAAAACAACAAACAAAACCCCTAATTATTATTATTTACAATTTTAAAGTTCATTAGCCTTTATGTGGTCTGCCTTGAATATTTTAAAATAATAGAATAGTCTCTCGATGAAATATAACATACGTAGTGAGTGTAGTAGGCCTATTAAAAAGATCATGGTTGAACGCGTTTCTGCAGACGTCAGTGTGTTAGATACTCAATATCAAGGCATTACCTTCTGAAGCATGGCGGCAAAAAACTGTTAAAAATAGCCAATTTTTACCATAATTCGGACAACTATCATCACTATAAAAGATGGTTTTTATTTATTATCAAGCCGTTTTCTACTCTCGTGTGGTGATATTTTAACCAGTTTTGCATTTGTGTGGTTTTGTGTGGTCCGTTTGGTATTTAGATAGGCCAGGGCCTAGTAGTAGCAGTAGTAGGACTCGTCCCTCCTATCTGACTACGATTACATTGTTTTATTGTCTTGACTGTTGGGACTAGCTAGGCTATAGGCCACGAGGACAGGGCCCACCACCTACAGTTGCGACTCACTACAAAAATACCGGGGAAGCAGGGGGGGGGGCTAGCCTAGAGGGAATGACCTGGCCTAGCCTAGGGCCTAGCCTAGGGCCTAGCCTAGCTAGCTAGCCTACTTAAACTTAGGCCTAGCCTCTAGGGTGGCCTACGTAGCTAGCCTAAGCTTTTATGACGATTTAACAAAAGTCAAGTCCCTAATCATTAACAAAACAGATTGTGAACCTTACCTTCACATTTCTACCTGTAATGAAATCTACAATTTCAATAGGACAAATTTCATTTTTGAACAGGATTTCTAATACAGCAGACATGTTTCGACGATCACAACACACAAACAGCAAACAGTGCGTGCGCAGCAGTGTGGGCATAAAAATCATGGTTGGTTGATTGTTTGTTGGTTGTTGTTTCTGTACTCAAGTGTTTTAAAATGTGGTCGCTAGCTAGGCTAGTGGATACTTTTCGATTTAACTTTCTTTTCTGTACAATAATTACTATTTAGGTTTTTTAGCTTTGTGCTAAAAATATTAGTCTATATTGTATACATGGACATGTTCAAGAATTTTTATAAACCGTTTTCAAAATAAAAAACTCGGTATATTTATTATATATATATATACATATATATATATATATATATATATATA